ATGTATGTATGTATGTATGTATGTATGTATGTATGTATGTATGTATGTATGTATGTATGTATGTATGTATGTGTCTGTCTATGTATATGGGGGAAGGGCCCGTGCTCTCTCTCTAATCGAACTTCCTCGCTTTGATCGGATCCTAGCTCTCTTCTCGGGTCAACACACGTTTCTTCTTCCCTACCTTCTTCTCTCACCGCGACGTACCCAGTCTCCGCAGTTTACCCCCACGCGCTTTTTTTAATATTTTTTTTATGTGGCGGCACGCGCCAGTGAAAACTGTGAATCTCTTCACTAGCCCACTAGGCCAGTAGCCCAGTAGGCACCCGAAAATTATTATTATACCCACCCCGCCACTGCGCTCCTCTCTCCTTCTTACTACCATTGACAAATGACAAATGACAATTTGTCATTATTAACTCCTGTTACTAGCGCCTCCCGTTTGCAAAATCATCAGTATGTTGATGGTAGCCAATATAGAGTAGAAGTACTACTAATGTAATCCGCTCACCTGTCGGTCGGTCGATCTGACCGGGGTCCAGGGCGCAGAAGGAACCGTCGCCTACGTATCCCTGGCGGCAGACGCAGCTTGGTTGTCGGCTGCGGTGGTCGATGACGCAGTCGGCGTTTGCGTCACAGTCGATGTCATCGCACGTTGTCATTTCTCCTCCCGGTGCGTCTGAAGTTGTTATTTGTTTTTATATGTTATTAGCTGATTGTATATACAACACATCAGAGGATGTGATGTTTATATATATATATATATATGTTTATATTGTCTGTCCGCCTGACAGGGTACCGTAAAACTGCGTCACAAATATACGAGCGTGCCGTGTTGTCAAATGAGCGTGCGTGGCCGTGTGCATCGTGTCGCAAAACTAAAACTTATTCTTCCACTTCTTCCTATTTCTTGATAGATATTCTACGCTATACTACTCTTCACTCGAACTTACGCGAATGAAAGACATGGTTACTCGTGCTCGCCCGACACACACGCGCGCGCACGCACACACACGCGTATATACGTGCATACGCACACACGTACGCACGCAATCGCACACACACACAGATAGGCACGTACACACACACATTCTCATATTCTTCCCCATTCTCTCTCTTTTTCTCTCATCCTTCTCTCTTTATCTCGATCAATCTTTTATTTGTCTCTCTCTCTCTCTCTCTCTCTCGCCCACTCTCTCTCTCTCTCTCTCTCTCACATTCTCATATTCTTCCCCATTCTCTCTCTTTTTCTCTCATCCTTCTCTCTTTATCTCGATCAATCTTTTATTTGTCTCTCTCTCTCTCTCTCGTTCGCTCGCCCACTCACACTGACTATATCACGTTCACTATCTTAAAGTATAGCTTCCGATTTCTTCCTCTCATCCTCGCTTTCTTTCGCGTCCAAAATTGTTTGACAACTCTCCAGAATTTTTCTCCTTGTCTCGTTTCTTACCTGTCGGCCTAGTGATCTGTCCAGGATCAAGAGCGCAGAATGATCCGTCACCTTCGTAGCCCTCGCGGCATCGGCACATCGGTTCGCGAATGTCGTAGTCCATAACGCAGTCGGCATTCTCATCACAGTCAATATCCTCGCACGTATTGGTGCTGCTTGGTGGCACAGCTGCGGATAAAAATGATAATTAATTAAAATGATTAATAACCGATTTATTGATGAATTAGTATTCCACCTGCGAAACAATGTAGCATCGCGACCACTCGGAACGTTTCAATGATGAAATAATGGCAAAATAAACAGGAAATGTAAATCTTTCTGTGAGTTTGTGCACAGTGGTGCGCATGCGGTGAAATTGCCTATCTGTTGCAGAGAAGCATTTTAACGGCATTTACGTGAGGTTATTATTCGAATGAAAATACATAAACGTCGAGACTTTGGTCGTAAAATACATTTCGTGTTTATTTCCCATCAATTTCTATTATTGAAACGATCCAAGTGCCTGTGGATAGCCGTCCCGATCACCCAAATTCGTTCTTACTCTGATTGCGACGTGACATATCGCGTGCATTCCCGATTGCTTGCTCTGCGGTTTCCGAGCTAATGCCATCTTGCGTGTGCGATGGCGTCGCAGCGTCATGACTGATTTAAATACATCAGCAAACGGTAACACCATGGGTCACTGCTCTCTATTCTATCTAGATAAATACGACTGTCAGCATTTCACCGGTGGCACGATGATGGCGGTGAGGCGGCATCGTACATTACACACGCGCATATCCAACATTAGACGATAATGCATGGTGACAGTATATCATAACATCACATACACACACACACACACACACGCACACACACACACACACACACACACACACGATGTAGCAAGAGTGATACTGACGTCTAGGCGATGCCTGCGTGAGACACATCTAATTTTGACAGGATTGGGTATTTATTACGGTAAAATGTATTAAAGCTTTTGAGTTGGGTAATGCTTATGGTAGGAACTATAGAAAATACGGCTTTTTTATTCGTTAGCAGCATATCCTTATGGTACCACCCTTTAGTAAAATTAAGTGTAACTGGTTAATACTTACTCTATGCGGTCGAATTGCTAGAATATGAACTCCCGTTTTAGACTGCTATAAACGTAATAAGGTTTCTCAAAAAAACAAATATCGGAAAAGTGCAGTGCTGCTCGTTTCTCGCGTGTTCTCACATTGTACTGAGAGCGTGATGGTGACATAGATTGTTGATCGGTCAATCAATATGAAATCGGTATCAGAATCGATGAATATCGATCACCTAGCTCAAACCGACGAGATTCTGTGTACACGTATATGAATTATTTAACTGAAATATATGAAAAAAATTGTGGTGCTTAACGAATATTGAAAATCCCGCTCGAATAGGTTTCCCTGAATTTTGACGTATATTAAGTAATAATGAAGCCAACTGTAGTCTAATGAATTCCCCTCCTATTACATGTAATTACGCTCCTTAAATTGCCATGACTTCTGAATAACGCATCCGTACCACTTTAAGAGCTATAGCAATTTTCCTGTGTGCACCCATACATGTTTCCGCATAGCACCTTTAATAAGTTCCTTCTAAGGACGAAGACTAAACCCATGATCGAGCGTTTTACAGTAATTACAGGGAACGGTGGTATACGTGCGAGGCTAGCATGGTTAATTACGGATACGAGTACTTGCATAGTAGATGATTATGCTAGATCAGAGAGCGTGTTAGACCTACAGTGGTGTCATCTCTTGTAGCCTGATCCATTAGTTGGTACGAATCCGCACTAATATATATATATATATATATATATATACATATATACGCCCATCGTGCATGTATCGATCTAAACTAGTATCAGCGTATCCAGTATCCCAGTGTATTCCCCAACTTGATACTGCGTTTTACTCGGAATGTGGTTCGCATCGCATCTGGGGGGCGATTTCCAAAACATACCGATTTCGCCGGCACTGCAACTGGCCTCGCATTCACTCTGCGTCTCGAATTTGTTTCCGTTTCCTTCGCAGCCGCCGTAGACGAACTCGACGCACTCTGCGTTGTCGCTATCCCAGGCCCACCTAAGGAATGCTCCTCTGCAAGGACCCACCATCGATGGAAGGCTGCATACGTTCTCTGCAATGCAAACGCAGCAACTTCAGTCACATTCGAGATTACTTGGAGTACGAACCGAAGAAATGCAGTTATAAGCACGTCGATGAGATAACGCTTAAGATTAAATTATTAATTAATTATTATAATTAATTATTATTAATTATAATGATTAATTATTATAAATTATAATTATTAATTACTATAATTAATTAATTATTAAGATTTAGAAAATCCAACTAAAATGCTAACTCACCGACGGGCGGGGCGACCGTGACTGCAGGCAAAGGTGGACGCGTGGCGGTTTTCTTGGGGCAGCAGGCGGCGGGAGCATCGGCTAGCTCCGTGAAGCAGAAATGTGTACCGGGGCACTGACTGCATGGAAGCAGGTCGTCTCCTCCTGCTGCTAACAATGGCGTGCCCTCTGGGCAGATGTCTAGCGGTGGTCCTTAACAAAACGATAGAACATTCGACGTTACTATGGGCCGAAGCGACATTTTTCTGGGCGCTCCAACTGTAACGCACAAACACAGGTTATGTAACCGTTAGAATCCCTTTTATGGCGAATAACCCTCTAATTCGGGGGGTTACAGGGGCAGACATACAGTCGTCAAAATTGTCGCGATGAAAACGTTAAATGATGAAATTGTTAAGGTGTGCTCGCTGTCGGCTTTTACTAAAGAGAGTGTAAGATATAAGATATAAAAGTTTATTTTATCACTTTCAATATCAGCAGATACAAGGATTTTTTTACCAAAATATGTACTGTACGTTATTTACGTACAGTGAAGGAATGACGAAAGTCGAGAGTGCGGGGAACACGTGGATATATAGTAGCATTGCGTTACCCGGCCTTATTTCTGTAGGTTCGATGCAGATGGTGTGTGAACACGGGTCTACGTCGCAACACCACTGTCCTACTGGGCAGTCACTATCAGCCTCGCAAGGAGTGTCCACGGGGCAGTACCAAAGGTATCGGAGGTCAGGGCAAAACTTATCCACAGGGGCTAATGTTGCCACTGGACCAACGACTCCTGCAAAAGTAGAAAATACTGATATAGTGACGCACGTCGCACGCACGCACGCACGCACGCACGCACGCACGCACCCCCACACGCATATATATATATATATATATATATATATATATCAATTACGTATTCTGCAGGCTTTGCAGTTATTAATAGTTCTATATTTTACCCTGAAATCACCAATGATCGACTTACCACTGCAATGGTGCATACACTCCTGTGCTGTTTCGAAGTTGTTTTCGTTGCCGTCGCAGCCACCATAAAGGTATTCTGCACATAATTGGACCTGGCTGTTGTAATAAAACCGAGGAATGCTGGCACGGCATGGTCCACTGTCCACTGGCTGCAGGCAGATAGTGGTGTCCACTGCGTGTGAAGAAGAACAGTTACAGATATAAATCGGACATAGAAGCCGGCGTTGTAAACAGGTGCACGCAATTGCAATTCCAATTAAACATTTTGTGTGTAGATATTGTTTAGATATTTACTGGTTTCTGTATCAGAAGTATCATCACTATTATCACTACTGCCGCCACCAGCAACAGCAACAGCAACAGCAACAACAATAATAATAACAGCTACACAGCCAACAACGACAACGGTACCAACATCAACATGAATATCAACAATAGCATCATCATAACAAGCAAGCAGCAGCAGCAATAGCATAATCATCATCATTATCGTCGTCGTCATCATCATCATCATCATCATCACCATCATCATCATCATCATCATCATCATCATCATCATCATCATCATCATCATCATCATCATCAATATTAGCATATCATCAAAAACAACAACAACAACATCAGCAGCAGCAGCAACAACAACATTAACATCATCATCAGCGACAGCACCAACAGCAGCAGCAGCAGTAACAACAACAGCAACAACAACAACAACAACAACAACCACAATAAATACACAAACAATGTGAAAAATAATAGCGACAGGAGCAGCAACAATAGCAATATACGTACGCCACCATTTCCAGCAACAATACAAGTCCAGCTTGGAAAAAGAACGCATGCAAATATTAAAATAAGCAGCAGCATGGTTGTGACAAGTATAGCAAATGGGCAATATTTTCAAAAGCGTCAGATGCATTGAAATACTTGTATAGTTCAAATCCCATGAAAAGCGCAACATGTGTAGAACCTACACCGGAGACAGAACTGAAGAACACCACTGCCACCCCAGACACACCACTGACCTGGTGGCTCTGTTTTAACCTCCTCTACGACTGCCTGTTCGTGTTTGCCACATCGTAACTCGCAGTCGTCTTTGGAAGCAAAGTTGTTATGATTGCCAACGCAACCCCCATACACAAACCCTTCACATCGTGAATTCTGCTGGTTAAAGTACCATCGGTCAATTTGGGCTGTGCAAGGACCAACGTCAGGTCCTTGCAGACAGTATGCGGCTAAAATGAAACAGATCACGTGCAAATTAGTGTACCATTTTCAAGGAATCCGCATCCTTCTATGATTGTGTCCATCTCACATATCCCTGCAAACATCATGCATGGTGGAGTCAAAATAATCAGTACGCAGTAAAAAACACACTTAAAAAGTGCGATCGAATCAACGCCCCTTAGGCGAGCAACAATTACCTAAAGAGACACAATAAAAAGCACGTACGTGTATTAAAGGTACAGGTGTAGCCATCGCCCGAATAACCTGGGGGACATTCGCAGTAGTAGCGTTCGTAGTGGTCATCAAACTTGCACTCGGCCAATGGCGAACATTCACCGCAGTCGAATGCTGACGCTGCCGAACGGAAATCATACGACGATTAAAGCATCTTTTGGCTTGGTATAAAACTTCAACGGTGCTCAACTGCGGTAATCTAACTCAATCTAACCACCACCAAACATTTCCTCCAAAAACCTTAAAACCTACACTACTATATTAAAATATATACTTTAATAAAATTTTATAACATATTCTATATTAATAAATTTATATTATATACTATATTAAAAATTACACTATTGTAGTT